AAGACAGGCTCCAGGCTCTGAGCTGGCTGTCAGCACAGAGCTCAATGCGGGGCTCAAACCCAAGAACCGTGAGATCATGACCTGAGCTGTAGTCGGACGCTTAACCGACTGAGCCACCCAAGTGCCCCGATTTTCAATTTCTTTTTAACTGTCAGCAGATTGTGGTCAAAACCTGAAAAGCCTTTGTGCAGGTAAGCAATCAAGGAACCCGATGGCTTCTTTAGGTCAGTTACTCTATACGTAGGTTTATTATTATTATTGTCATTGCTCTTATTATGATTTATTTTAATTTTTTCATGTTTATTTATTTTTGAGAGAGAGAGAGAGCAAGGGAGGAGCAGAGAGAGAGAGAGAGAAGGAGAGAGATAATCCTGAGCAGGCTCTGCATGTCAGTGCAGAGCCTGACATGGGGCTCGATCTCACTAACCTAAGGGTGAGATAATGACCTAAGCCAAAATCAAGAGTCAGATGCTTAACCGACTGAGCCACCCAGGTGCCCCGCTCTTATTATGATTTTCACAGAAGCAGTATATGTTAACTGTAGAAAATTAACAATTTCCTACATTGGAGAGGAATACTAAGGAGAGAAAATTTCCTGTAAATATCTCTAAAATATTTTGGTACCTGTCGTCTTCCCCTTATCTAACCATATATATAGCATTTTACATATTTATGAGTATCTATGTATATATAAACACATGGTTTTTCAAAATTGGTATTATACTATAGTGGCTGTTGGTATAACTCATTTTTTCAGTTAATAATAAATTATGAAATACGTTATTTTGGAACAGAATTTTAAGTGACTATATACTAGAAATTTGCATATAAATGAGGTACTAAAATTTAACCAATTCCCTATAGTTGAATACTTAAATTCTTTTACATTTCTTGCTCTTTTAATACTTAAAGTTTGGACATGAAGGCCTGTGGGTGCCAAGCAGAATGGACTAGATTTTACCCTACGGAGCAGTCGCTCTCAAGGGAATGGCATTAACTACCTCTAGGGAATGTTCTGGAAATCTGGGCAGATGTTTTGGTTTGCAAGATGTGTGGAGACGGCTCCTGGTGTTCAGGACCAGAGAGACCACCGGCTCTGCAGTGTGCAGAGCAGTCCTGAGCATAAAACCTCGTCCTGTGTCCTGCCCAACTTCCAAGTGTCCTCCTGGAAATGTGTGAGGTGAGGAGCCTGAGTACAATGCTCCAAGCCCATATCCTAACTCTGTGTGACATACAAATGCAAAACATTCTGTGCCCATTTTTCATAAACACTCAGTCTTTCACTACCCGTGTAAATGGAGGGAAACAGGTGTTCTTCAAAGCTTTACCAAGAGGGGTGCACCGTTTTTGAAAACTGCATCACTAATGCCCCGCCACGCCCACTATTTGCATCAGCAACAACAGCACCTACTTAACAGAAGTCTGCATTTCTATATGGCTTACGTTCAGTGTGATTCCAAGAGTACATGTGAGGAATTTACCACTCACGTTCTCGTGTCTTCCAGGACCGTCGCGCCCACGCATGTCGTAGTGAAATACGTATCTGTATTATGAAGATTCACTCACCTTTATGTTATGTGCAAGGTCTTGTATTACCTTATACCAAGTCAGGTGTGGGTATCGGTCTCGTTTTAGGAGAGTAAAGGGGCCATTAACAATATTTATTATAAGCTGTGGCCATTGGGTCTATAGGGTTGAAAATTGCTACCATAAAGCACAGGAAGCCATTAGAGGTTTCCGGCAGGAGAGCAGCATAGATGAGATATGGATACGCCGAGAGCACAGAAAACAAATGGGAAAAAGAGATGGCAAGAGACAAAGAGACCGGAGAGCAGGCAAACAGAATCTGGGCAGGGAAACAACGCAAACCCAGAATATCACAATGTCTGCGAGCATAAGAAGGAAGAGAGAATTTCACAGAAGACACCTTGAAAGAGAAGTGACTGGAGCTTAGTGACTGAATATGGTGTCAGAGTGCCTACAGCGTGACTGTGTTCTCAGAAGTAGCCTCACACACGTGCACACGCATTCGTAAGCACACATACACAGACACACACTTACATGCTCGGAAATTCCAGATTCGTTACCAAGTAATACCTCTCCCCCTCCTGCTGCCAAAGGGAAGACTTATCACACCACAGATTCTGTGATCTGACAGCTCAAACTGACACTAGCCTGAACTGGAGGGGCAAAGCCTTATTCGGCTTATTTATTTGTTTGTGATTCTCCATCCAAGATAATCCCCGAAATAAATTTTCAGTGTGCTTCAAGAACACTCGAGGTTATAAATCATATACTTGCATTCCCATACTACAGTAAGCAGAAAACCACAAAGATCAAGTGCACATGTATATATATATATATCCCTGCCTTGCCAAATCCGTATGCACACACCCACACAAAGAGACAATAAAAGGAAACTAAGAATCTGTGAACCAATGATTAGGTGTCAGTAGCATACACGTTTACTAATCAGAAGCAACCCTACCAATTAAAATAGCATAATATTAGACTGGGCAAGAAAACCATGGTACTAAAGAGCAGAAAAAAACAAAACAAAACAACATTCCAAAATGAAAGACTAGAGCATCACAGATATTAACCAGAAGAGAATCAATGCTACAAAATACTGGAGCTAGAAGAGAATGTCCCGATTAATAGTCAATTTCCAGTTAAGATTAAAAGTGTATTATATGCTGATTCTCTGACTTTAGCAGGTATATCCATCCTCAATTTCAATTTCTTTTGAAAATAGATAATATCACTGTTTCTTTAAATACAGGAAGCATGAGTCAAAAATAGCCCCAAGTATAATGGGGCTGTTTAGTTTTTCCTGACCCACGTCTGCAACAGTAGTGAGTCAGTAAAGAAATATCACGTTCTTGGTTGCTTTTCTTCACAATGGAAAAGTGAGGAAAATAGTAACCACACCTTTCTCAACCCAGGGCAATTATTCCGCCACGCCACCAAAAAGTGTCAGTTGTATTCCATCAAAGTGGAAAGCATCCCTAGAAACCTCACTATTAAATTCTCACACTGTCCAGTTCTTTTTTTTTTCCTTTTATGGGTTACATAGCATCTGAAATGCAGTCTTTAGCACTCTTCTATTCGCCTTGTGCGACAAAAATGCAAGACACAGCCCACCAACTATGTTAACTGCCCAAAATGGGTAATGAAATTTTCTAGGCAAATGCACAGACAACACCGCCCCTCTCTCCCCATCCCTACTGCCCGATATCAGGTTTGGACAAGGGGTAGAATATGCATGTATTTGGTATACATCATGCTACAGTGTAGGAGGTTTAATAAGCCAAGAGAAGATCCTTCAGGTGAGGTTATTGGTGGTTATGGCTTAACCCTATGGCCTTCCCTCTTCCTCTTAATTAGCCACACATTCCAAGCTCCTTGTTGTGAAAGACAAGGACCCCAAGACTGCCCCTTTGCACCCCTGTCACCTTTGAATTACACCTTCTCTTCTTAAGTCTCTGGGTCATCATGTTGTGATTCTTCCTGGAATCTACTTCTTTACAACCATCCCCTAACTGGCTCCCACTGATTGTTCAAGACTTAGCTCTAGTGTCACCCAGTAAGGTAGATATCCTCTCTCTCTGCTCTCAGGGCAAACAGGGTTTCTCTCCATCCGGGCCCTTCCTAGTTCCCTTGTGATCATCTCTTTACTCATTGGTCTCCCCACTTAGGAACATCACAAGGGCAGGAACCAAGTCTTTTTTAATTTTTTTTTTAATGTTTTATTTCTGAGAGGGAGAGAGACAGTGTGAGCAGGGCAGGGTCAGAGAGAGAGGGAGACACAGAATCTGAAGCAGGCTCCAGGCTCTGAGCTAGCTGCCAGCACAGAGCCCAATGTGGGGCTTGAACCCACAAACCGTGAGATCATGACCTGAGCCAAAGTTGGACGCTTAACCAACTGAGCCACCCAGGCACCCCCCAAGTCTTTTTGATGCTCGTATCTCCAGGGCACAGCACAGGGAGCGTTTTGTAAAGGTCTGTCGCTCGCCTAGCTGGGAAGAAGAAGTGCTATTGCCTATAAAAGCTATGAATAGTAACTCTGATTTTCTCACTGAGGTTAGGGAGAGGTTTGCAAGTCGGAGTTTTTACGAACCAAGATCTTGGAGGTAGCTGAGCTTGAGGGGGAAGATGCCAGAGGCAGAGCATGACCCAACCTCCATGGTTCCAACCCGTTGTGAACTCCTACTCTATCTGTCATGGCGTCTGGGCAACTCACTGGTTCACCTCCATATACATCATGTCCATGCAGCAAGGGAGGGGGAGCAAGTAGTGTTGACGCATGACTTCCCTGTTCTTCAAAATCTGATTTGGGAGTTTAACCGGTGGGACCATGTTAGGAGACGTGCAGGTGAGACACCTGGAGCCTCTAGAGCCAGGGGCTTTGTCTCACTCAGGATTGTCAGCCCTCACCAGCTGTGTGTGGAGACACATTCAAGCACTTTTGTTCTGTGATCAGTTGAAACCCACTGCTGGCATTCTCTTCGTTTTTTATCACATAAGCCCCTTGGGCCTACGAAGCTTTTGTTGGTGGAAAGAACAGAAGGTTTCACACTCACAAAGGCTACCGGATTTAGACTTTTAACATCATCTCCAAGGGAGGCGATGCAAACACAGACATGCTTTGGCACGGTTGGAGCAAAGAAGCCGTTCATCATACAGTTTTAACCTTGTGTCCTGTTACCAGATCATACTTTCTGAAATACACTGTGAATCAGAAGTTTTAATAAATCCTAGAACTATCTTTGCAAACAGCACAATTATTTTGAATTCATGCGTAGGTCAAGTATGTTAATTTGTTAAATGTAAACAATGTTTATAACTGCTTGGTATGTCATTAGCTTGTAATATACTAGGAGCCACTTCTCCAGATCTTCAAGAGGTCTTACAAACACAGAATTATTTAAAGGATCAGTAGACAATGAGCACTGAACCATTTCATCAAAAGGAGAAATGCAATTTTACTTGTGACTTACCACATTAAGTTTTGCCCAGAACTCAGGTCCTTCTTCCATATCTCGAAGGCTCGGTGGAATGTACCAAAAGCAAATATTGGCATATTCAGGCTGAAGGTTTAAAAAATTTGAAAGTTATTTTATTAACTTAAGATTAATCTTATAATGTAATTAAGCTTCACTACTTTCTCTAAAAGTTGTCATGTGTGTTATTATGTTGATAACAAATCACTCTACCTTACTTCTGATAACAGCCTATTGGGAGATTTTCTTCTCAGTTGGGTGCACCCAATGAAGGTGCTCTTTCCTCCAGGTAAGGGATGAGCACAAATTTGGGAATAAACATAATAAAGTTTGAAGCTTCCCCAACCAAGCTCAGACCACCAATTGGCACCTGATACTCATATGCCCAGAGGTGCCCTGACCCCTCCGTCTTCAACTCTGATCCTCAATTCATTTCTTACATCACGATATCCTTCCAATAATTCCTTCTCTATTTAAGGTAGCCAAGAGTGACTTCCATTACCTGATATACCTGACAGATGCAAAATTCCCATCAACCTATGAGTTGATGACATATAATGTACTTGGACTTCACTTAAACAGCCCTGCCATGACCCTTGCCTATACTGCTTTGGGGAAAAGAGCATCACCTTGACTCATGGCTCTCAAGTATCAGTGTCAGTCCCAAGAAATCTAAGGATGTGAGTTGGATAGGGGGCTTTTTCAAAACAAGGAGTCTCAGTCCCCATGCTCAGAATACCCCTCAGTCTGATTTAGTCCACCAGAGAAAAGGCTGGAGAATTAGTATTTTACAAAGCATCTCAGGTGATTCTGAACTATGTTGTGCATGGTGAGTGTTTGAGAAACTCTAATTTAAAGTGGCCAGAGCCAAATCCTCATCTCCAGTAATCGATTTTGGTTAAATATGGGATAACCTACCAGAACGGGTTTTAGTCTAGCTCCTGTCACACAGACAAGATTGTCTCCATTACACGTGTCATCCTCACAGGACAAAAACATGGACATGTCATAGACAATCATAAGACTTGTGTTCTGTGACCAGGTGATTTGGGAAGTTCTCTTGGGGGTTTACACAGGAAAGATTGGACACACAGGAAAGACTGGATATTCAGGAAAGATTCTAAGTCACGCCAACCTTCTCAGCAGTGTCTTTATTTGATTCTTAGCAGTGACATTATTTGAAGTGGTTTCCATTTTTCCACATAAACATAGGTTGTAGGTAATAACCAATGTTATAATAGTTCTCAGTAACCATCCGTTATACTCTAGTGTCAGTGAATTCACAAGTATTTCAGAAAGATGAAAGTGCTATTATCTTATATCTTAAAATCAAGACCAGTACCATATAGAGTTCAGATTCTAGTGGATTTTAAATCAAAAGTGAGTCCCAGAAACATTCCCAGCTCAACAAGGTAAGTCCTTTAATCTTTGGAATTTGTAACATGCTTATTGAATTTGACAAGGAAGAAAGAAAGAAAGAAAGAAAGAAAGAAAGAAAGAAAGAAAGAAAGAAAGAAAGAAAGAAAGAAAGAAAGAAAGAAAGAAAAGAAAGGAAGAAAGAAAAGAAAGGAAGAAAGAAAAGAAAAAGAAAAAGAAAAAGGAAAAGAAAGCCAGAAATCTTCAAAATATAGAGTAGTTCCAAACGGAGTACTATTTAATTCAACTCAAGTTCTGCAAACATTTATCATGAGATTACAATAGTCTTTACAAATCCATACAATTTATACTTGGATTTCTGATAAAACTCATTTGGTATCTCTAGGAAAGAAATGTACTGTCCTTCAAAATTCTTTACTCCTTTTAATGTGAATACATCTGTTCAAATAAAGCAACTACAGTGGGTCAGAAAGTAGATGACAATATAATCATTATCTGTCATTGGGTTCTAGGAATTCATGTCTTTTATATCAATGATGATTTTTTTTTCCAGATATCATTAACTTCTTCTCAGCTCAAATCCACCCTTTTTTGTACCCTGTAAGAATGGAAGTGGACTCTAGAAATAGCTCTCCTTGCCATCTGGTCCCAACTTAGACTTCATTAGCAGAGGGTGCTGGAGGGACACTGAGAAGGAAGAGGTAGCTCTTCCGGGTTCCAGTATGCTAACTTCACGGATCCCTTGCAGGATGTGTGGGTCTTTGAGCAGTGCTGTGATCAGCCACAGTAGACCCCCTGCCAACTTCACCCCAACATACTCATCAGATGGCTTCAGAGCAGACTGGTAGGTGCCCTAAATGGCTTTTTCAGGCACGCTCCCCTCAGGTGATTTCACAGGGGAGTGTCGCCAGCGAGGCACCCCTGTGTAGCCTGAGTGAGTTTCAAGGTACCTCTCAGAGGCTTAGTCTAGCCCTGACCCCCACCCCCGTGCTTCCTTCAATTACCACCTGATCTCAGCCCTGGGAGGGATGGCCTCTGGCTTGGGCGCTGTATCCCAGTCCTGTGAGTGGCGCTTGTTTTTTACATCTGCTATTTCTGTATTTTTTAGGGTTCCCTTTTTCTCCAATGAGGCAATCCCCGTTAATAATTCTTCTTTTTCTAATATGAAACGTCTCACAAATTTGCGTGTCATCCTCGCACCGGGGCCATGCTAATCATCTCTGTCCTGTCCTGATTTCGGTATATGTGCTGCTGAGGCAAGCACAATAATTCTTAAACTGCACTTTCCCACTTCAAATTACTGTGCAGTTTTTGTCTTCTTAGTGGACCCTGACTAATACATCAGTAAGTTATTACTTTTCATTTCCACGGAGACATCATAAATCATTTTGTGGTAGTTTCTACTTGTTCCATATCTGCTCTATGTTGTAGAAGTTAGGACTTAGACCTTTTAAATCACCTTTTAAATTTGCTTCCATTAGTAAGTTTCTGTTTTGATATATTTTTAAAGTTTTTTAAAGTTTATGTATTTATTTTGAGAGGGGGTGGGGGGAGAGGAGGGAACGGACAGAGAGAGAGAGAGGGAGAATCCCAAGCAGGCTCTGCGCTGTCAGTGCAGAGCCCGAGGAGATGCAGGGCTCACACTCATAAACAATGAGATCATGACCTGAGCTGTAATTGACAGTCAGACGCTTAACCGACTGAGCCACCCAAGCACCTCTCTGTTTCCATATTTTAGAAGTGACATATCTGTGATTTTTGCCCCGTCTCTTTTATAACGGTGTGGCTTCGGGGCTGTGACATTTGAAGCCTTTTCGACACTTCATCTGATTGGAAGATATTTGATCTCCATTTGGTAGAATACCTTTACTGTCATCATTTCCAAAACTATTAAGATTTGGAAAAAATAGCCTTTTGAACATTCATGGGGAATATACTTGAGGTTTTCCTGTTTCTTTGGCTTTGTGGCTTATACTTGATATAGTGACTTTCTTCAAGAAGCTTCAAAGCACTAATGAGTATTTTCAGAGTAGAACCATTCACATGGTACTTCATTGCCTATATATTAAGAAAGCCTGACTTCTCGAGTATCTTAGGAACACTCTACCCTATGTACTCTAACACCATAAAATTGAGAACATAAAAAGGGAATCCAAGTGTCTAGACCAGACAAATGATACCAAAGGGTACAAAAACACCTGTAGCAGTGAAAAACATTGTTCCAATATTTAAAAATTCACGGAGACATACAAAAGTGTCACTAAAGAAAAGATAGATGTGTTCTATCCTGGTTTTCAAAGAGAAAGAAAAAACATAGATATATTCTAAGAAATGAAGCAGGCACTTTGATTCCAGCAAGGATTATTGAGCAATTGACATGAGACCACTTGGGGAAATAAGTCAAGGGTCACCAAGACGTAGTAGCTTGCATCCTCTAAAACTGAGTAACATCTAAAGAAATTCATCTCCTTTGCTTACCGTGTCATTAGATTACAATAATATAATAAAAGGCAAAGCTAGCACCAGGCATTTCAATAAGTCTGCATTTCAAAAATGCAGACTCTGGCAGATAGATGGAAATGATCATACAAGCATCAAATGGAGAAAGGGGCCATGGTGGATTTCAAGTGACTTCAAGCTTTTGGTTTTTAATATCTCATTAGATTACTGAAAAATTTCAAGGGAAGCACTGAGTAGCACAAACAGTCTTGGTTTTGGAGTTCCATGGATATGGTTTGAATCTCAACTTCACCAGCTCTTTGTTTGGACAAGTGATGAACTCTAATCTTCAGCTTCCTAATCTGTGAAATGGAGATCAAAGTGCCCACTTCAAAGAATTGGTTAGATAGCACAGAGATTATTTCCATTATTTACTACTGTATCTGGCATACAGCAGGGACTCTTTTAGCATCGTGGCTATTACCTGGGGCTGCATTGGTAGAAAGAGATGTCCTTTTCAAGTGGATGAATAGCACCATTAAAATCTGTACTAGGCGGGATACATTACTATGTTTCCATACAATATTTGAGGGAGAATGTTAAAGAATTACAGCCTGCCCAAAAAAGGGTAACTGATGGGGTGACTGGGTGGTTCAGTCGGTTGGGCAGCTGATTTTGGCTCAGGTCATGATCTCATGGTTCGTGGGTTCGAGCCCCATGTCGGGCTCTGTGCTGACAGCTAGCTTAGACCCTGGAGCCTGATTCAGATTCTGTCTCTCTCTCTCTGACCCTCCCCTGCTCATGCTGTCTCTCTCTCTCTCTCTCTGTCTCTCTCTCAGAAATAATTTTTTTTTAAAAAGGGTAACTGAAGTGTCCAATTCAATAAACAGAACTTTCTATGTTCTAGATATTGAACTAGACATTCAGATGAGAAAAATGACTACATTTTATACTTATCTCCAGGAACTCAGTGGTGAGTAATGGAGCTAGATACAGGCAATTAAACTGTGATAGAATTAGCATTACAAAAGAAGAACTTTCTCGTAATACAAGAAACATTTCTGGCAGCAGGAATAGTGCACGTGTAGAGGCCTGTGTATTCAGAGGGATGGCAAGAACTCGGAATGAGCAGAGGACAGAGTGTACTAAAGATAGGTGAAGACGGGCATGGAAATGAGAGTCATTTCCTGAAGGGCTTCCTCATCTGCCATGTTGGAGAGCTTTGGCTTGATTTTAGAAGAGATGTGGAATCATTGGAGAGTTTCAATTTCAGGAGCAGATTTCATTTTAGAAAGGCCACAGTGTGGCTCCCATGTGGAGATGGGCTGGGCAGGGGGGAAGGTGGCATCTGAGATGGAAAGGGGATGAGTTACAAGACAGGACCAGCCCGAGTAGTGATGAGAACCTGAACTGAGGCAGGGGCTTCAGGAGTGGAGAAAAGTGCCTGAGATACACTTAAGAGAAGGAGAAGGGAGAGAGTGAAGACAACACTGAGATTTCTGTTTGGACTGATCATAGTTCTAAGGACTTAAAGAAGAATGTAGTATTTTGGTAAAGGAAATGGCTACACTACAGTTTAGAAATGTTGAATTTGAGGTGCTCGTGAGAGTCTAACTGAAAACTTCAGGGCATACCTATGTAAAAAAGACTAGAGTTTAGAAGGCAAGTCAAGGATGGAGACATTATTGAAGCTGTTGGTAACAAAGTTTTAGAAGTGGATTAAACATTTCAGGGAGAGTAAGTAGACACGATGAAAAACCAAACATGGAGGAACAGAAAAGAATATTTAATGGGGTACCCAGAAGGGAGCTCTTTCACATAGAGATTGAGAAGAAAAAGTTACATGTAAAGGAGAAAAACTGGGAGAGAAACTCAAAGAAACCAAGGAAGAAGAGAATTTCAAGAGAGAGGGAATGGATAATGGTGTAAAACACTACAGGAGTCCAATGAGATGAAGATTAAAGAATGTGCATCGGATTTTGCGATTAGAAGAGTGCTGTCATCTAATAAAAATACATAAAATTGCAATGCATTTTATACATACTAGTAGTAGGAGTCAATAAATAACGGAATATGAATAATTAGAGCTCTGGGGAAGAGAGCTGAGCTGTGAATTGTCTGACACAGGAAGTGTTCAGGAAGAGGTTGACTTCCTTTTATGGTTACTGGTTATCATCAAGAGATAACCTCCAACAGGAAGTTGCCTCCAGCAGGAAGTTGACTAGATGTCCTTGAGGATCCTTTATGCCCTGGAAAGTCTATGGAGCCAAAATAACTCTTCCTAATGTAGAACTCAGGAAGAGAAAAACAAAAAGCTGAATAATTAGGACTCTCCCAAGAGATCAAAATAAAATATGTGAATGATAGTATATGAATGACTATACCTCTAGGAAAACATTTATTAGATCTTAGATCCAACACAGAAAAACAGAGAGATGATTTTCAGGGGCCTATGAATAATGCAGAATTCATTTGAAATGATAACTTTAAATCATCTTCAAGAAGATATACATTGTTTTTGTTCTTTTCAGGAAAAGGGTATTCAAGTACTAGATACTCTGTTATCTTGTGTTCATTTACTGTTTTCAGTATTCCACTTAACATTCTCACTGCTATCTGCTAAAAACTGAATGTATATGTATATTATAAATACATATATACACACACACACGTATAAAATTATGGGCTTTCATTTTTCCTAAAATGATAGACTTTCAGTTTCACAGACTATACTCCAATCACATCTCACTTCTCTTAAGTATACATTAGGGTTTTATCTAATCAATCCAAACTAAGCATTTGTTAACAAAAAGGATAATTGCCTTGACACTTGTATATGAGATTTAAAGTCTAAATTTACATTATTTCTCCAAATGGAACATGGAGAAAAGAGGCAAATGCAGATCACATACAAAAACCGTTGTGAGTGGGAATGTTGGAGTGCTTTTGAGAAGGCCACCCTCACCTCTTTGGGGCCATCTGGCTCCTGTAGGTAAAATATCCAGGGCAGAAGGCTGCCTAACAATTAAAACCCACCTTAACTTGCATTACAAGGGTGTGAATGTTTGCAATTCTCTAAAATGATGGTGAGAATTTCCCTCCTTAACTTGTAAGCCTTTAGGAAGAATGTATACATGTCTTTGAAAACAGTTCATCTTTTTTTCACTTTTTCTTTTGGCTCTATCAAAAGACTGCAGTTCCAAGGTACACAGAACTTTCCATAAGCCCTAGAGCCCCACAGCCAGAAAAATAGAGAAGGTAATTAAAACTTGTAAAAGTAAAGAATAAATTCAACCTCAAGGAAATAAAGAAGGCAAGTCAAACTCAAGAAAGTTACAAAAAAAAAAGTGACTCAGACTCAAACTCCAGCCAATCCTATAGCTGTCATTTTGCCCCTAAGTGCTTACATATGCATCTCTTAAAAATATAGATATTTTCTCATGTGGTCATGCCATCATCACACCTATCAAGATTATTGATAGTTCCTTGATATTATCCAATAGCCAGCTCACATTAGAAGCTTCCCAACTGTTTGAAAATTTACTTTTTACAACTGTTCAAACTAGGCAATAGCTCCATATGTTACACGTGGTTATTGGGCCTCTTCTCTTTGAACCTAAAGTGATCTTCACTACCTTCTCCTTTATTTCCCTTTACACCACTGACCTGTTGAAGGAACCGGGTCAGCTGTCCTGTAGAATGTCCCACATCCTAAATTTGTCATTTTGTTTCTTTAAAGTATTCCCAGAAAGTCATTTCAATATGGATCCTCTTGCTATCTTTGCGAGTTCTTTCATATCCCTATTTTTCAGGAACTTTCAATTCTTGTAGATAGCGGTAGAGGCCATGGTCAGCACTCTCTAGAGCAATGTTTCTGCAACTTGTTGGGAGGCCCATCATCTACCTCACCTGGGCTACTGCAACAGTGTCTCAATTTGCCTCATTTATCCTTTCTTTGGCTTTCCTTCACCCCCTCCTACCCTATACCTCTCTTCCCAAGATATCCAGCATCATCTTTTAAAATGGAATTCAGACTCCTGTCTGCTTAAAACTTCTCTGATGACTACACTTGGAATAAAAGCCAAAGGTCTTACCAGGACCTGCTTGACTCTACCTGATCTGATCTCTTTCCACCTCCCCAACTGTATCACCTTCTACACCCCCTTGCTAAATATATATAGAACTCTTTGCAGCATTAACCCTTTGTAGTTATCGATTCTACCTAGAATGTCTTTCGCTCAGACATCTGCATGGCAGGTTGTTTACCACCAATCAGGTCTCAGTTCAAAGATGACCTCAGAGGGTCCTCCATGTATGACCCAAATGAAACAAGCCACCCCCCACCCACATACTCATTCCAGCATTCCACCCTTCTTCTTCCTCTTCTTCTTCTTCTTCTTCTTCTTCTTCTTCTTCTTTCCTCTTTTTTTATTTTTTTTTTTTAAATCAAGTTAGTTAACATACAGTGTAGTCTTGGCTTCAGGAGTAGAACCCAGTGATTCACCTCTTGCATATAACACCCAGTGCTCATCCCAACAAGTGCCCTCCTTAATGCCCATCACCTTTTTAACCCATCCTTCCACCCACCTCCACTCCAGCAGCCCTCAGTTTGTTCTCTGTAGTTAAGAGTCTCTTATGGTTTGCCTCCCTCTCTGTTTCTATCTTTTTTTCCTTCCTTTCCCCTTACACATCTGTTGAGTTTCTCAAATTCCACATGAGTGAAATCATATGATATCTGTCTTTCTCTGACTGACTTATTTACCTTAGCATAGTACCCTCTACATTGTTGCAAATGGCAAAAGGTCATTCTTTTTCATTACTGAGTAGTATTCCATTATATGTGTGTGTGTGTGTGTGTGTGTGTATACGAATACATATACATACATACCATATATGTGCGTGTATATATGTATATATACCTATGTGTGTGTGTGTGTTTGTATACACATATGTACATACCAAATCTTCTTTACCATTAATCAGTCCATGGACATTTGGGTTTTTTCCATAATTTGACTATTGTTGAAAACACTGCTATAAACATTGGGGTGCATGTGGCCTTTCAAATCAGTGTTTTTCTATTTTTTGTATAAATTCCCAGTAGTGCAATTACTGGGTCGTAAGATAGTTCTATTTTTAATCTTTTGAGGAAACTCCATGCTGTTTGAATTTCAGAGTGGCTGAACCAGTTTGCCTTCCCACCAACACTATAAAAGGGTTCCCCTTTCTCTGCATTCTCGCCAATATCTGCTTCTATTACAGAACTTGCTACATCTATAAATATTTATTTGTATGCTGAATTATCTCATGAACCTGCCTTATTGTTTTCTTAAGATGTCTCACTACTTGATGCTTGTCAGGTATTTGCTTATTTATTGCCTGTCGTTTACCATTTGAGTATAAACACCGCCAGAGCAAGGGATTCCCCTGTTTTATACCTCCAGTGCCTACCACAATGCCCAGAACACAGTAATTGCTCAAGAAATCTTGCTGAATAAATGAATACCAATGGAAACCAGATTGCTTATATACAATATAGTTTCCTAGGCTGTAATCTCTAGATGATTTCTATATTAGGTTAAAATTGCTATATAATATGTGCTATTAGAAGATCTAAGAGAACTTTACACCTCATATTTCTTAAAAATCAGAATTAAATAACATTCTTCATATTTTCTAACCATATATTTTAGGAAAAACACAACATTCTCTACTTTTGAGACTACCTTATTTCTTATATATAGCAAACAGTTCAACACAAAATGATTTATTTTCCCATTGCTCCAAAGCTAATATGCGCTCTTTATAAAAAGAGAAAACTATATGCATTATTGTACATGCACTTAATTGATTTTTCACAGGCAGGCACCACTATAGCGCAGTTGAATATTCACAGTACAATCATCATGCAATTTATATATTTATTCAGTATTATCCTTGGTAATTATTATTGAGCACTTTAATTTCAATACTTAAAGGCAAGTGTGCTCTTTGTGAATCTAACAAAGGAAAAATACTCACTAATAGAGTAAATTAACATAATGGACTCCATGAATTAAGCTAATGACTTGTTTCTAAGTCTGCAACACAAAACCCAGTGAAATATAACAGATTAGAAAATTACCACCTTCATCACTGTTGACTGACAAAATCATGAGCACAATTCTGTAATCACTTACTTCCAGCAGTAGCCTGAATCCTTCTCTTTTCTTGATTTCTTCTACAAGGTATCTAAAAATGAAAAGTCACAATAATATTTATAATCTGGAATCTAACAACTCTATGAACACAACTGACACACACACACACAATTGCTATTTCTGATGCAGAGACAAGGCTAAGAAATAAGGAAGGGCATAGGGACAGGCATACACTCGGATTTAAACAATTTAAAATTATTATTATTTTAAATCATTTTAATTATTTTAAATTATTTCAATTAATGATTTGTTTAAATTATTATTTAAATAAATTATTTTAAATTATTTCATTTAAATTAATTTATTTAAATTATTATTTAAATAAATTATTTTAAATTATTTCATTTAAATTAATTTATTTAAATGAAATAACTTAAAATAATTCCTGAACCTATTGCAGGCCTCTGGGGCCCAAGTAAAAAAATACATTTTTTTAATAAGGTGATGTCGATCTCACATGTCACATCCAACTTTTACCCCAGTATGAAAACCACATACAGCACGTCAGAGATACATCTCTGATCATGTGGGTGACACATTTATAGTCTAGATGGGGATTTAACATAGGTACTTAAATCACCCAGCTGGCTTTGGGTGCATAGTCCTACCTATAAGCTCATTTAAAATCAAGGAAGCTCAACATTATCTTTTTTTTTTTTTTTTTTTTTAAGCTCAACATTATCTTGTCCAAGACCAGAACTGAGGGAAGGGAAGACTGATGATTAGTATCACGTTAAAAGTAAATGGGCTGTAGCCCACTTGATAGAATGTCTATGAAGTCATTTCAAATGTTAGGGAAAAGGGAACATTCAGACCATAAACAAAGGGCACAGATACATGAGATATGGAATATGACCAAGAAAAGACAAAAATGGCTTTGAGAACATAGAGTAAATCCACACAGACACCTCTCCCCTGGGCTTGGCTATTGTCTTTATAAAAACAGGAACATTTTGAAATAATTGGCTTTAAAAAGCAGTGATTTGATCATAAGCCTGGAAAAGTTTATAACCCTTGTCTCAGTATTTCAAATTTGGGGGTAAAGTGTAAGGAATGACAAAAATGTACTTGTCAGAATACTTATTGTGATTTTATACATAATAGTGAAAGAAAGGAGGAAAGAAAGAAGCAAACAAACAAAAACATGACACCCAGCAATGAGGACTGGCTTTGAAAATTATGGTCCATTCATCATATGGAACTATGGTACAATTATATGGAATATGAGCATGTCACTAAACTATACATATTCAACTAATATTTCAGGACAACAAAAACATTTTTCTTGGGCCTCAATCTCAAGAAAACTGAAATAACTCAATCTGCTTTTCTAATCTTAAAGGCTGTTGTAAAGAAAATTAAAATCATACACATCTGGAATTTTGTCTAAACCTATGTGTACATATGGGTGTGTATTTAATACAAAATAACCAGAAACAAGATTAATATCCAGAAATTGGGAAATGGTCAAATAAAATGTATTATAGCAATACAATACAATATGATGCAGCCGTTAAAAAGAACAGATTATATCTACTTTAATTAAACCACAGGGAGGCTCATGACCTATTAGCAAGAGACAAAAGCAAGGTACTGAGAAATGTGGATAAGACGATTTTGCTTTTTAAGAAATTGTAAAAAGAATATAAAAAAATACAAAAGTAATTCCTATCCATTCTCTCTCTCTCTCTCTCATGCTTTTTTTAACAAAGAATGGAAGTATACACAATAAATTGTTAGTATTTACCTGAGGAAGGAACAAACAAGATACGATGGGGAAGACAGGGATTAGTAGTTCTCTTTTTATATATCTTTGCAAAGTTTCATAGATGTGGTTACTTATACATTTTTTTAAATGTTTGTTTTTGAGAGAGAGACAGAGCATGAGCAGGGGAGGGGCAGAGAGAGAGAGAAGGAGACAGAATTGGAAGCAGGCTCTAAGCTGTCAGCACAGAGCCCAATGCTGGGCTCGAACTCACAAGACATTAGGTTGTGATTTCATCACCTGAGCTGAAGTCGGCTGCTTAACCGACTGAGCCACCCAGGTGCCCCTAAAATTTTTAAAAGGAAATTTAATAAAAGAAAAATGTAAAGTACAAAACACATAGACAGACACATGCAATCTCTATCTATACAAGGAAAGCTTGTATGTGAACCATACTTTTTTGCAGACTCTCAGACACAAATATATATAGGTAATTTGTAAACTCCAAAGCAAAGCCACACTTCATCCTGAGGACGCCCATGCTAATCCTGGACACCCCAAAGCTACGGAAAAACTCTGCATCTCCAGAAATCCCGGGACTGACTCTAGAAGATTCTAATTGTGCAGATCATCAATTTTGTGACTTTCAGCAAATTCCTGAGCCTCCCCAAGCCTGCTTCAGTTTCCTCCTGTACATAATGGAGGTCTGGAACAAGGGGGGTATAATCCTTCCCTAACACACAATGACTGTAGGAAACTTACACAAAAGTCTCCATTTAAGCTATGTCTGTGAAACTGGCTAAAGCTGCCCTCAAGAGACAGGCATCCTGAAACAGATTGGAATCACTTCAGTTACAGCTCTGCTTTTTGCTAACCATGGAGACCTGGACATTGTGTCAGGGCCAGTGTCCCCACTGCAGCTGCTCTCTGAGCCCGGAAAGCTCAGTGTAACCCTCTGAGTGGAGCAGGGGAGGGGATTCAGGTGAAGAGTTGCTATTATAACCATAATCAAAGGCTTACACCGGAGTCCCCCAACTATGCCCCAGGCCGAACCGTATTTACAATGCCAAATAAATGTGAGCCATGCTGGGCATTCCAGCTCCATTCCTGTTGTCTACAATTAGAAGGGGACGTGGCTTAATTCGTCAAGACATTTATTGAGTTGGTTGGATGGTTCAATACCGTCATCAAGAACCAGGCATTTTCCGTCATGTCAGCCCGCCATGCTAAGAGTTGCTAATTGTCTCATGTCGCAATATGTGGGCCACGCTCCGTGTGCCACATCTTGGAACAACAGTGTCCGAGAAGGAAGTGAGGGGGCTGGAGCAAAAGCCTTTTCTCTTCATTTTCTCTCTATTTAGGTAAGACTATTTTCCCCAGTAGCCTTCAAAGAATTCTTCCTATATCTTCTTGACTGAGGCTGAGTCATAGATTTACCTCTAAACTAATTACAGGAAGTGGAGATTGGGTTAGAACAATGTTCCCAGCTAGAAGATTGCTACCTAAATAAAATCAAGGTTCTGTTGGCAAGAAAGAAAAAGGGAGAATGGCTGTTGGGTAAACAATAAACATCATCTGCATGTTAAAAATATTAAAAACCAAGTAATAAATGTTTCTTTATTACAGGCCTCCTCAGAGCCTTTAATGTGCTAATGAACACTGAATCTCTAAGAGAGGAAAAATACAGGATTTAGCACTTCCCAAACATGTTTGATCGTGAAAACAGTTTTTGGAACATTTATTAAAATCTTCTAGAAGTCTATTATTACATGGAGTACAGTTTCAGAAATGCTAGTGTAGAAGTCCTCTTCTATAGGACACTCTAGCCTCTTCTTAAATAAATACTTAAATTAAATGGGTTTTTGGGAGGGAATCCAAATAAGGTTTGAGTCACTCCTGCCTACATTCATAAGGATGATTGGTTCCTCACAATTTCTCTTTTCAATACATGGAAACAGATTGAAGATAAAATACATTTCAAAAAAGCCCTATTCTTATCTGACGCAAACCAGGAAAAAAGATGTACACTGAGTTTGGGGACCTAATACGGGAACCATAAACCACTTTTACCAAAAGGAATCCAGGCAAATGGGTTCAAAAAACAACAAGAGTTTATAAAACCTCATCACTGTACTTCCCACTAATCTTAGCAGAAAGAGAAGGCAGGGAACACACACACACACACACACACACACACGAATTTTCACCAATCCTACTGGGGGAAAAACATTGTATTTAGATTATGGCTTGATTTTGAGGCATATATTAATGACGTTCTTGCTCCCAAACACTCCCTTACAAATATGCTTCCAACATTGAAGATGCTCAATTCTCGGATTTGTTCAATAAGTGTGTCTGATACTTTTGCATTGGACTTGTCCTTTTACAGGACATTCTTTCCTTTCCAGAAACAGCCTTTCCAGTCTCTTTCTCAGCTACTCAGAGTCTTCCTGGAACTTTGGACCAACTTCCTCTCCCCGTCTCACCTCCTCATTTGAATTTTTTTTCTGATGCAACGAGTCCTTCCAGAACTTCTGAGAGCATTTTGCATCTGCTCCCTATATGTTCTGCATATATTAGAACATCTTGCATGACTTGTGTGATTCGTCACAGATACCTACATGCTATGTTCTACTGCAGTTGTGATTCTTTTTAAAAAATTACCAATATAAAGAAAAAGATGAAAACACTGGCCCTTCGCTAGCCTTGTAGACTGTCACCCTCTCATCACCCAGAGAAACACACCAACACACAAGGGCCATGGTGTCACCGCTCACCTTTTCCATCCTGAAAACAGTAAATCCCTCAGTATTCACACAAGTTGGTGAAATGAATGCCATCTGAGAGATCACAGAGATTGTGAGTCAAGGGGATAGATAAAAGATACACTGGAGATCTAACAAAGCAGCCAAATGGGAATTCTTGAGCCATTTGTTGTTGTGGAAAAGATTTACAAACATGACTTTTCTAGACTCGCTTTAAAAATTACCTCTTACTGAATATCCATTTAATCCAAGGGCCATAACAAAGCCCTCAGCTACAGGCAGCCCCGGGTAGCATCAAACTTTTTCAGCTTTCCTAGGCATATATCAGGGAGATGCAATCGCCTGCCTTGGGTGGGAGGCAGTGGTTTTAAACCTCAGTCCTCTGGGTCTCAGGTAGGCTGAATAATCGCACATTGCTATCGGTTCCCAATGTCACTGGTTTTCAAACAACCCAAGGAGAAAGCAAGTTTTGAGTCTTTAACATTTTTTGAGGTAAGAGTTCTCTTGTCAGCTGGAATGACAAGGGTCCAACGGAAATTAGGAAAGGCCTTAGAAATCTTC